TTCGGTTCTAGGTGGAACTGGATCCGCACTTGATGGAAGATCGAGAACAATACTACAGATCTGATCCGAAGAAGGCGCTTGCAAAGTTTTTCGAGCGTGAAGGATTTGATATGGAGTTTCAATTGACAGAACAAGGCAGTGGACATACACACAAATGGGTGTGTACCATAGAGTAAGTAGTACTGTTTCAAGAGGCAGAGAATGGTGGTTTTTTAAACAGAAATCTTCTTCTACAAGTCACTTCTTCTCAATTTTTACGATATAAATCTCAAAAATCTTGGTAACAATAATTGTTCCTTGCAAATTACCAATTTACTTTTCTTTATCCCTATACATTTCTCTTCTTTCTTTCAAATGTTGTTTTTTTTGTTTACTATAGCATCTTACAACCTCACTTTTGGCTTTGTTATGATATACTTAACCACTTAGTCGTGATTAATCCATATAAATTCCGTGTCAGCAATAAGTTTGCAAATTTTCCTTACAGATTACCCATTGAAGTGAATGGAATAGACCGCGCGGTCACAGCGCAGGCAACAGTTTCGACCTCAAAAAAAGATGCTCAGGTGCAGTGTGCTCTCGAGGCCTGCAGAATACTCGATGCGCATGGAGTTTTGAGGTAAGTGGCATTTATGTTTCTCAGAAACAGCGTTGTCGAAAATTTTTGAAGATATCTGATTCATTTGTTAATTTTGCATAGTACCCTTGTCGGTTATAGCTTACTTTGTTTATATATGCAGTAGATAACTGAAATAAGGATGAATTCGCATGTTTACATGCATTGTTTTCCATCAAAGCTCAACCGAAGTTCTCAATCTTGGCACAATGCCTCTTATTTTTCTTCCTGAATCAAACAGACATCGTAGTAATGAGATCATGTTTTGCTCATAGGGCATATCAGTCACAGTTTTCCAAATAATTTTTATATTCATCAGAAGCAACACTGATTCCTTTCTTTATTTATTCTTATATATATCTTATTCTACAGCTCTATTTAGGAGGTCTACCAATAAATCAAGAGCAAAGAACAAAGAGTTGGAAGCAAACGATTTTTACGATGAAGATGATGATGAGTATCTAGACCGAACAGGTCAAATTGAGAAGCAGCGGGAAAAGCGAATGTTATGGGCTAAGGTATTTCAAAAGGCTTTTCAGTGTGTGTCTTTCATTCTGCCCTGCCTATCTTACATTTATTTCTTGCAGAACAAAACTGGCGAGAAAGTTGAGAAAAAGAGCACATATGAATCCCTGTGCAAGGAACTAGAAGAAACCCGTGCTAGTATTGCAGATCTGAAAAAGACACTTGATGATGTGAATAATGTAAGCATCTTGCGCTTATTGTTTGTGCATCAATTTTTTGATGAGATTTATATCAGGCAAAAACTACACAAAGTACTGGTGACTCTTTGGATGACTACTGTAGAACATTAAACCAGGGTGCGGATCAAAAGGTAAGTTTATTTCATTTTTCATCTCAGGACTCTAGTATGAAATGGCTGTCTTAGTCCAAGACTGAAATTTCAATCCTTCGGCAAAAACTTGTTGGGCTTACACATGACGCTCAACGGTTAGAGAAGCTTGTAAAGATAGCAAAGCCTGTTGCTCTACCTGAGCTCAAGGTGGCTGGGGCAAACGCATCGGGTAAGCTCAACTGTATACTCCCTTTTATATGAACGTCTTATCCATCATGAGATTTTTGCAGGTAGCGATAAACAAGCATTTCTGCGTAAAATGATGATGCTTGGAAGAAAAAAGGCTGCTGACGAGAAAGCGGCTGAAAAGGAAGAAGAAGAAAAAGTAAAAGGACCGGCCAGAATTCCTTCACTGATGGAAACTTTCAAACCTGAAACGGAAGATGATGAAGAGGTTCGACATCATTCACATTTAGATCTGTATCATTGAACTTGCAAGGTATCAATTATAGAGCCCCAAGATTACTGATGAGAAGCCGAGTTCTTCCACTTCTAGTACTGAAAATAGAGATGTGGCTCCATCTTCTTCCTCACCCTCGAAAGAGCAGAAGGATCAGAACGACCAAAGCACTGTTGAGTCGACAAAATCAGAAGTGGAGTCTGCTATTACCAACTCTGGGTCTTCAGTTCCTACCTCAAATATACCACAAAATCCTCCTAGTCCTGCACCAGCAAAAACTAAGAAACAGATTGTCCATGAAATTGTCCATGGAGATGAGGACGAACGGTCGAATTTGCAGAGGAGGTCGGTGTCTACTGAGGGGGACGAAGATGAAGAGGGTGGAGGCCCCAAAAAGAAACGGCGAGTCAGAGTGCGAGCAAACCGACCGGCACCAGTTAACGCTGTGGATGACTACGGAAATGGGTAGGTCCTAGTTCATCAAACCACCTTTTAGTCTGTGCTCAATAATATTGCTTTCAAGGATGGATGATGACCGATATGCTACGTGGCTTCCTCCAGAGAATCAAAGCGGTGACGGAAAGACGGCTTTAAATGAAAAGTTTGCTGGAAGATATTGATTATTTACGGCTACCGATATGCTCCTACCTCATCTGTTTTATTCCTTTCAATGTCTTACATTTTGTATATGACCCTCATCATCTTCCATACCTTTGCCCTTATATTTGACGTGTGTTCCATTTCTTGAGGTGATTGTTAAACTAAACTACTACAGTTTCTATTAATCAACATAATTCTGTAAAGTTGAATCCATATGTGTGTAGAGCATATCCACGACTATTTTGCATCTAGCAAGAAAAATCGGTTTACACCACAACGCAGGTTACCTTCAGAATGACAGAACTAGAATCAAAGCATTGAAATCTTTTCACTCGGTCAATTCGGCGATCGTCCGGTGCATGAAGAAGGTTGTAGCAAGTTTGAGATAAGAATACGAATTGCGACATGAAAAATCCTAATATTGTAAGCTGGATGGCACGAGGTATCAAATAGGCCAATATGAAACGAAGTAATACTATAAGTTCCAACTCCTCCTTTCGAGGACATGTGCGGGAGCACTATAAGTGCCATTTGGCTGCACAATACCCAAAGGT